GTGTTGTTCCAGAGAAGGTGTATGGTCTAATACTGAAAAATACGAGATTTCCACCATAGACCTTCTCTACTGCCGAGATTCTCACCATAGACCTTAAAAGTCTTTTCTTCTCAATAGACTTCTTCCATTGCCGTCTATGAGGGTGAGATAGAAAAATTTCTCCATTGAGGGTATTTTTCTTGGTGTGTTCCTTAGACAGTGAGTTTGAGGACTTTTCATATTGAGGGAGTTGTTTGTGAAGGAAATGGATTGAGATATCTTGATTTAAATAGGGGAGGAGGAGGTTCACGGGTTCCATTAAGTGGGTAGTTGGAACGGTGAGAGTAAATGAGTTTCAACTTCCAAGAAGTTGAAAAGCAGAAGGAATCTTTTACCAGTTACCAAGGAATTGAAACTGTTTTAATTAGAAAATTAGTTTCGTTTGGTTTGAGAAACGTAACTGTTTTGGTTTGGCTAAGCCCAAAAGAGTGGCCCAAAAAGAACAGAAAGCTACATACTAAAGGGATATTATTCCTATTGGGTTCTCAAGGCCCAAAATAAGACTATCATTTTTCATTCCCTATAGTTCTAATTTTTACTTAGGACGAGGTAGCACCAAAACAAATGTGAATTTTTAAAAGAAAAAGTGGTACTATTTTTCCAAAGTCCTGTACATTTTTAAACATCCTAGGGACCAGTACTTTTAGAGCTGGTTGGAAATGAATTAAGGACTGAAGCTTAGTTTTAAGAAGGCAGATTTTGTAAAGTACCAGAATCGGAGATTTCCAATTTTAGTACCAAGACTGAGATATCCATCTTCCATTGCTTTGAGCTTATCAATAATTCATTGCCAAAAAAAATTGTTAGCCAAAACTAGTTAAGTTTCCCCCTGAATTACATTCCCCCTAAATGTATGCATAATTAAGCATAATAAGCGCAATTTAAAACCAATCAAGAAATGTTTAAACAAGAAGGTGTTTTCATCAAAACAAATTAGTGTTTTCACATACTTTCCCCCTGTTTTGATGTAAAGAACCTTCAGTGTCTCTTGCGCTTTGAAGATCCGGCAACTTCACTAATGCCCTTCATGTTCCCACACAGTTCTTTGATGTGTCTTAAATTTTCACGTCTTTCTTCTGATTGAGCATCATTTGAGAAGTGGTCAACAACTGTACCTATAACTTCTGTTCCATCCAGTCCTGAGCTGGATAGAAGTTGTGCTGAGTTTTCCGGATTTCTCTGCTGTGCTTCAAGGATTAGATTTGTCAAGTTCAGATGAGAAGGAATATAAGATACTTCTCCTTCTTTGATTGCAATAGGGAGCTGTGGTATTGGAGATGGACTGTGTTGTTGGAGAATTACTTCCATCTTGTGGTTTCCAGAGTTTGCACCAATAAGTCTGAACAGCTTGTATGCTTCCTTTTGATTGTCAATGATCACTTTTAAGTAATCTTTGGTTACTACCTGATTTGCAGAAGCTACTGCTAGGGCTGATCTGATGTCCATTTGGAGAAGGGACATCTGTTTTTGAAGACTAATTGTGACACTTGCTATTTGCTCTTTGACTTTGTTAATCTCCTTGAGTTGAAGCTGACTGTCAGAGGCATATATCTCCATCGTGTTGCTCATAGTTTTACTCAATAGAGAGATGATCTCTAGAGTCTTTTCTACTGATTTGCTTATTTCCTTGAGATCTGTGTTGCGCTTCTCTTCAGATTTCTCTATCAGCTTGGTGTACCTGGCTTCCATTTGCTCTATCTCTTGCCTAAAGGAGGCATGTTGAGATGCTAGGGCTGATTCAATCAGCCCTTGGACTTTCTTTGTCCAGATTTTCTGTACTTCATCCGGAAGTGTAGGAATGGAAGAGCTATGAAAATGGAAGTTGGTTACCTGATGAGAGGATGGTGTTCTTTGGAATAGTTGCATAGGAAGAGATTCAGCATCTTCTTGTACATCTTCTTCATCAGTGATCTTCAGTGTTCTCTCAGATCCTTCCTCTACTTCATCAAGTATAAAATTTGATATATCCCTAGAGAGAGAGTCTCTTTCTTCAGCTTCATTCTGTGCTTCAAAAATGGCTATTGGAGTTTTAGAGACCTCTAGTTCTGCCATTTGAGTTTCCTTCTCAGCTTCTCCAGAATTCCTTTGCGCTTCTACAGTTTGCNGGTGTTCTTTGGAATAGTTGCATAGGAAGAGATTCAGCATCTTCTTGTACATCTTCTTCATCAGTGATCTTCAGTGTTCTCTCAGATCCTTCCTCTACTTCATCAAGTATAAAATTTGATATATCCCTAGAGAGAGAGTCTCTTTCTTCAGCTTCATTCTGTGCTTCAAAAATGGCTATTGGAGTTTTAGAGACCTCTAGTTCTGCCATTTGAGTTTCCTTCTCAGCTTCTCCAGAATTCCTTTGCGCTTCTACAGTTTGCTCCTCTTCATTTGTTTCTGGAAGAGTTGACTGTTCCAGAATTTATGCTGACCTCTCCGGGATCTCAGTTTCAGTAGGATTGGAGATCTCACAAGGAGTTGTGAGAATCTCTAAAACTTGAGATTGGATCAGTTGTTGAACAGCTTCAGTCAGAACCGTTTCAAAGGCAGGTGACGTTCCTGGAAAGATTTGGAAATCCTCAGCTGTTGCTTCCAAATCAGCCTGTTCTTCAGAAGTGAGAACCACTTGATCTTCTGTGGCTTTTGAGAAGACTGGCTTGTAGACTGCAATATCTTCATCATCTGCTTCAAAGTCTGAAACTGGTGTAGTGGCCAAGTGTTCCAGATGCAGATCTTCATTGTTCCTTTGCCATACCCAGTAGTCATCCAAGATGTCTTCACAGCAGTGGTTGACTGGTAGTCCTAGGCATTTCTTGATAATCTTCTCATTCTTCAGTTGTTGCTCCCAATCCAACAATTGCTCTGCTGAATTTCCAACTTTCCAAGCTCTCCAATTATAGTAGAGCTGCAAGAATTTGTTTTCAGCATCATCTGGTTGAGGTTGAGGTGATGAAGTTGGAAGGCTTTGGACTTGAGGAATTTCTTCTTCAAGTTGTTGAGGGCTTCGGTTGTGGACAGGGGTTTCCTTAGCAGGTTCATTCTCCTTCAACTCATCTGGATTGACATTTCCAGATGTTGATGGAGAGTTGATCTTCCTCTTTTTCTTTCTTTGAAGTTCTCCATGGTCAGAGACTTCTTCTTCTTCTTCCAAATTGATCAACGCAAGGTTCTGTGGTGCTTCAATGCTGATGGAGGGAGACACCACTTGCTTCCTTTTGGCAGTCTTCGTCATATGGATGAGTGGGACATTATCGGAAGAGCTTTCCTCAGCAGTGGCACTAGTGCCAGCTCTGTTTTCCCCTTTTGTAGACAGATAGTATAGCCAGTATCTTTCTTCATACTTCTTTCCTTTAGAAGCAATACCCATAGATCCCAAAATATGTCCAAGGTATAGTCCTTGATAGAGATATTTCTGGTTGGGCTTTCCCAAATGCTTTGAGATGGAATTGAAAAAGTGTGCAGCCCAGTTTACCTTAGTTTTGGTAATGAGAGAGCTCTCTCCTGGGTGATGTCATAGGCATGACCTCCACTTCCACACTCGAGGCAAGAGATAACCAGTTCCAAAACCAACTTATAATCGTTGTTTAGATCTGCATTCTTCGCAGGGCCAGAAGGAGTTCGCCCAGAAATTCCAATGATGTTCCAGTCCAGATTTTTGACTGGAAATTTCCCAACTTCAACTCCAGAATTGGGAAGGCGAAGCTTTTCTCCCAATTTCTATTGCGAAAGCTTTACTTTTGTACCTCCAACAGTGGACTTGATGACTGGAAACGTCCTCTGTGGGTCCTTCTTTGAATGGGCAGTTTTGATTTCTCCATTTCTGTAGAATTCGAGAACTTCTTCCTCGAATTTGAGGCGAATCTCCATTTGAAGAAATTCGGAGAGTTCTTGAGCGGCTATCATTTGCAGATAGCTTTGGAAGAATGTTGTTGAGGAGCACTTGGCTTCTAACTTCAAGAAGTCGACATTTGCTCCGACAACCTTCATTTTCTCAGAAATTTGGGTGAAAATTTGAGAAATAAAGACTTAGGGTTCTTGCAAGTTCTTGAGAATTTTTCGCGAAGTAGATGACGAAGAATTTTTGAGTGGGTGGTTGAGATCTGAATAGTGGCGATTGGGTTTTAATGTGGGCGATTTATGCGGCTAGTGGCGATTGGATTTTTTAACTGTTCCCAAGGCCACGTTCCCACCCATCATTTTGACAGACTTGGAAAGTGAACTGCCACGTGCACCCCTTTTAGTCTAATTGAATTAGACCAATTTTGTGAAGCAAATCGGAAAACTTGGCTTCACTTAGTGGTTTGGTGAAGATATCCGCCAGTTGTTCTTCAGTTGAGATATACTCAATTTTGATATCTTTCTTTTCCACATGATCTCTGATGAAGTGATGCTTGACATCAATGTGCTTAGTGCGAGAATGATCCACTGGGTTTTGAGAGATGGCCATGGCACTTTGATTGTCACAAAAGATTGTCACTTCCTTTGTCTTGACTCCATAGTCCAGTAGTTGTTGCTTTAGCCACAAAACTTGAGCACAACAACTACCGACTGCAATGTACTCTGCTTCTGCTGTTGATGTAGAAATGGAGTTTTGTTTCTTACTGAACCAAGAAACAAGATTTCCACCAATGAATTGACAAGTACCAGATGTACTTTTTCGGTCAACTTTGCATCCGGCAAAGTCAGAATCTGAGTATCCTACTAACTCAAATGAATTGTTCTTAGCATACCACAAACCCATGTTCTGAGTTCCTTTGAGGTATCTAAGAATCCTTTTAGCTGCTATCAGATGACTTTCCTTTGGCTTTGACTGGAATCTGGCACAAACACCTACTGCATATGAGATATCCGGACGGCTTGCAGTAAGGTAAAGTAGAGATCCAATAATCCTTCAGTAGAGAGTTTGATCGACATTCTTTTCATCTACATCCATATCAAGCTTGGTGGATGTGCTCATGGGGACAGATACGGATGACTTCTGATCAACTTTGAACTTCTTGATAAGATCCCTTGTATACTTCGCTTGGTTGATGAGAGTTCCTTCGCTTCTCTGCTTGATTTGAAGACCAAGGAAGTAGTTGAGTTCTCCCATCATGCTCATTTCAAATTTTCCTTGCATGAGGGTTGAGAACTTAGTGCATAGATCTTCCTTAGTTGAGCTAAATATGATGTCGTCCACGTAGATTTGAACCAATAGGAGATCTTCACCATCTTGTAGTTTGAACAATGTCTTGTCAATGACTCCTTTGGTAAATCCATTGCCTATAAGAAATTGAGACAATGTATCATACCAGGCTCTTGGTGCTTGTTTGAGTCCATACAGCGCCTTTTTGAGTCTATACACTTGATCTCCCTTAGTATGTGACTCAAATCCTGGAGGTTGTTCTACATACACTTCTTCCTCTAGGTTTCCGTTGAGAAATGCGCTTTTGACGTCCATTTGATAGACTTTGAAGTCCTTATGAGTAGCAAAGGCTAGAAACAGCCTTATAGCTTCAAGTCTAGCAACTGGAGCGAAGGTTTCATCAAAATCTATA